TCCCTCCCTCCCTGCCTCTCTCACCCCTCCGTGTGTCCCCCCAGCCCGCCGTGGACTTCTTCACCCACGAGGTCATGATCCACCCGGTGACCAACCGCCCCGCCGACAAGAGGAGCTTCATCCCCTCCCTCATCGAGAAGGAGAAGGTGAGGGAGGGTCCTGCTCCCCCAGTCCTGTGCCCAGCAGTGCCATTTCCATCCCCACATCCCACCCTCCTCATTCCCGATCCCACAGAGGGTCCTGCTCCCCCAATCCCGTTGCCCAGTGGTGCCATTTCCATCCCCACATCCCACCCTTCTCCTTGACCCGATCCCACAGAGGGTCCTGCTCCCCCATCCTGTGCCCAGCGGTGCCATTTCCATCCCCACATCCCACCCTGCTCCTCATTCCTGATCCCACGGAGGGTCCTGCTCCCCTAATCCCGTGCCCAGCAGTACCATTTCCATCCCCTCATCCCTCCCTCCTCCTCCTTATTCCCAATTCCACAGAGGGTCCTGCTCCCCCATCCTGTGCCCATTGGTGCCATTTCCATCCCCACATCCCGCCCTCCTCCTCATTCCCAATCCCACAGAGGGTCCTGCTCCCCCAGTCCTGTGCCCATTGGTGCCATTTCCATCCCCACATCCCACCCTCCTCCTCCTCATTCCCAATCCCATGGAGGGTCCTGCTCCCCCAGTCCGTGCCCAGCGGTGCCATTTCCATCTCCATATCCCACCCTCCTCCTCCTCGCTCCCGATCCCATGGAGGGTCCTGCTCCACCAGTCCTGTGCCCAGTGGTACCGTTTCCATCCCCACATCCCACCCTCCTCCTCCTCATTCCTGATCCCACAGAGGGTCCTGCTCCCCCAATCCTGTGCCCAGCGGTGCCGTTTCCATCCCCACATCCCACCCTCCTCATTCCCAATCCCACAGAGGGTCCTGCTCCCCCAGTCCCGTGCCCAGCGGTGCCATTTCCATCCCCACATCCCACCCTGCTCCTCATTCCTGATCCCACAGAGGGTCCTGCTCCCCCAATCCTGTGCCCTGCGGTGCCATTTCCATCCCCACATCCCACCCTCCTCCTCCTCATTCCCAATCCCACAGAGGGTCCTGCTCCCCCAATCCTGTGCCCAGCGGTGCCATTTCCCTCCCAACATCCCACCCTCCTCTTTGTTCCCAATCCCACTGAGGGTCCTGCTCCCCCAATCCCATGCCCAGCGGTGCCATTTCCATCCCC